TGAAATACGAACTTTTCCTTAATGTCTTTTATTTCATTTTCAGCCTTGTTTAAGGCAGAAGGAAACTTTATAATATCTGGATTTTGACTAACAAAACACTGATAGCAGTATGAAATGACTATTGTTTTCTGATACTACAGTTTTGATTTAAGCGTTCTGTTAAATATTTGTATTACTACAGCTTTTCCCTCGTTATGAGTACTGTTAATTTCAAACCCCAGTGATTTTACATTTCTGTTATAAAACTCTGTTCCAGAATCAACCGATAATTTCTGTGGTTTACTACTAGATTGTTTCATGATCGTTTCAAAAGCATGTTTGACTAATAATCATGTTTTGTTTTTCCAAAAGAATAACCGATGCATATCTTGTATATAAATTTATAACTGTTAAACAATATTTAAATCCTCTTTCAACTGCAGGTGTATTAATTATATCAGCTGACCATATTTCATCTTTATCAAATAATTTGAATGTAGGATTTGGAATATTTTCAAGTTCGTTTATCATTTGTGCATTGGCATACTTATAGAAATATTAAAATTTATAGGCTCTTGGTAAGAGTGGTTGTAACAACAACATATAATTGAAAGAAAGTTAAGAAAGCACAGGCCGAGGTGAAATTCAGCTACATCAACATGATTTTTATAAAGTAATACTAATTACAATTTAAATAATTATAAAATAATAGAGTATATATATTAATGTGAATGAAGTTCGTCGTTTTCTGTTTCTGTAACAAACATCCTCTGAACTAAATAGAAAGTATTAAATTAATATGGAGAGGAACCAATAGTCTGTAAAGAAATATATATATATTACATATATTGATATTAAAGTTCTATTGAGCTGTGGGTTTAAGTCTACCGTGGACTAATATATTATTAAGATTCTTATTGCGTTTAAATGCAATAACTAAATCTATTTGAAATATATCAGGGGTTTTTTGTTAGAGTTCCCTGTACAGTTCCTTGATAAATGGTATGGTTTGGCAGGCTGAAAAGTACAACAAATGGAATAATTTGATAATCCACTTGGACATAAAGACCATTTGGCTGTATTTTTTTCAATTTGTTTATCCAGAAAGAAGTCTGTAGGTTCTTGTTGGGATATCGTTTTGTTCATGAATTTTCAATAGGTGTAAATCGGACATTATCTTTAGTGTGATCTGACTGGTTAACATGTTTAACAACAGATTTGTCAAGATTATGCTTTATATCGAATCTATGGCCATTGAATCGTGTTCTTCATTTGTTTTTTGTTTTGTAAAATATTGACCCACACTTTGCATAAAAAGTCTACGAGCAATGATTCATTTTGGTATGTCTTTAACTCATTAAGTCCAAAATTCTGGACTGAACCATTCCGTACATTGGATGTCTCCAAAAAACCTCCCAAAGTTCGACGGGTAGTATCTCAGCTGTTAGTAACCTGATCCCTTTCAAAATTTTCACTTTCAAAATTTTCACAGATATACTCCAAGATGTGTTTGTCCAACGCTAAAATATTACAGTCATCAGATAAAAATTGTACAAGTACTGCCCCGAACAGAACAGCATGTCAAAAAACACAATATCACGACAACTTACCTATTTCAACCTGTGTTCAATGTGCCCTCCATCTTCTTCGACCACCCATCCCAACCGTTTTTTCTATCTGTGGAATGACAGACGGGCGAACGAATATGACAATATAAAAATCCTTTTCAATAGACAGCCAGGTTAAATGGATGTTAATTTTCCCGTGGCGGAAGTTTCTCATTTTTAACATGACAGTATAAAAGATTAGATTTTCTTCAGCCCTTTCAATGAAGAAAAGATTATTTGCACTCAAGCATTTTTTCATTATTTACATGGCGAGTCTAAAAGATTATCTTCATTATAGTTCATTATATGTCGCTTTAATTCAACAACTGTTCCTTCTAAAAATAAAACGAATTATTTTTAAAAAATTATAATTTACAACCTGCAATTGCTATATTATATCATCAATATCCCAAGAATCTATGTACATGGAAATATGTGGGCAATTTACATAGTGCTGATATGTCTACCTTTTGGGGAAACACGAATAGTTGGTAGGTACAGATTTTTCTTTTGAAATTAAGTACTCTCACCAGTATCTCAAAGACTCTTTCGTAGATCTGCCTTTATTTAAGGGAATTTCGTTTGGTACGTCGATTTATTTTGCTCAAATTTATCTCTTTACCAAAATCTAGAGAGACGTTCAAGCCGTTAATTTTTTAACGCAAGAGATATTTAAAAACATTAGCTTTATAAGTTCGTCACGCGTTTTAGGTAGGTGTAAGAAAACGACTGTACCGACTGATAGTAGAAAAATAAACACAGAAATTATTGTACAATATAACTTTTCTACCAATTCTGAAGGAATCAATTAATAATATTGAGTCATTATAAAGCCAAATACCTAAACTAGGTCAAACTGCTCAATTAACAATTAGTACTGTAATATTTTAATTAACCCTTTTAAAACAAATTCAGTTTGATCAAGTATCCATAGACATAATAACACAATTTATAACTATTTTCAGGTATTATTTACGACATTTTTGATAATGAAATTTTGCGTACTACCCCTTTAATATTTTGGTGTATAGTTTTAGTTTTCACAAATTTGAGCAAAAAAAAATTAATCCATTAACATTGAGCATTTTCATCGATATCTAAATCTAATATGATTGGTTTGATAAGATTGAGCAAGGGGAAATGTAGATATTTTAAAAACAGGGATCCTACATCCCCTGATATAATCTGGAATTGGGAAGGGGGACAGCTCTGGATAGAGATTCATGAAGTCTGTGCTAAATATAAATATACATGTATAGTTGTCATAACCTGGACTCAAATACCAATTACCAAAATAAACCCCATGATTAAGGGGGTTTTTTTTTATCAAAGGAACTATTAGAACCATTTGGAACTTTTGATGACAATTTAGAACCAAAAGTGCTCTCATATACATGGTCATAGCTGTAGTTTGTAGACGCTATTTCATTACCAACCAGAAATATATATTTATTCCCATTTAAAAATCAAGTCATATCAATTGATTGTCAGCGGCTCATGCCAAAGTTACCTGTATATGGAGAGAAAGAAAATGTATGATTGAATAAATGTTGTTAAAATATTCATTCGCTTTAAAGCCAAATTTTGCAATTGACATTATTTCAGTGGCCGGCCAAATTTTATGGTCGAAAAATTTGTAATTCAGTTGTAGTTGAAATAAAACGTCGAAAAGTTAATGAATTGATTAGAATCATTACATAGGCCATGTAGGGGTTTCGTCATTGACTGGCCAGTAACAGACATGAAAAGCCATTATTTTGGATTTTTTTTAGATTCGATGTTTACGTGTCTGAATGCAACATCTTTATTTCGAGATGTGGCAAGATTTCATCCCATTTTCACTGATATATGTTAGAAGCCATGAAGAGGCTTCGTCATTTACTGGCCAGTAAAACGGTTAGGCATGAAAACACCATTGCACCAACTAGGTGGACTCCTGCCAATTCCATAAAACAATCCGCCCCACCCCATTACTATGTACTGTGCAAAAATATTGGATATTTTTTTAGATATTTACGTGTCTGAATGCACCATCTTTATCTCGAGATGTGACATAATGAAAGAATGTATCATGTACCCTATTGAATGAAAAAAAAAACGTTTTTCTCATATTATTGTAATTCATATTATTCAATTATTTACTTTGTGCGCAGTTACAGACCATAAAATTTGGCCAAACAATAAGGCAGTTTGTGCACATCCTTTGGGCGCAACCTTAGTCTCGATTTTCGTGACACAGTTTGGAGAGTTCGGAATTTTACACACACTGGTCTTAAAAGTTATTTTTATCTTTTCAATTTGGTTTTGGTTAAAAGGTGATTCCGCTTTGTAGTGGGTCAAAAAAGTTTTTGCTCAAATTTGTGAAAACTATACACGAAAATATAGAGAAATGTACCCAAAATGTATTACAATTTTTTTTCCATACCAAAAATATTTAAAAACAGTACGTAAGTTTATGTAAACTTTTAAAGTTCGTTATGCTAATGGAAGCCGTTAACAAACTACTGTACAAATTTAAGCAAAATAAACGCCTAGTTGTAGCGAAGTATGTCTCCTACGTATTCGAAAGGTTTCAACTAATAATATGGAGCCTGCCTAAAAAATTCGACACAAAAACTAATGTTCAAAATAATTTCTTACAACATTTTTTGTGGTCCCGACGAATATTTAGCCCGAAATAATTTTCTTAAAATTCTACCATGAACTGTGTTTTCTAATGAGTTTCAAAAAACTAGAAAACAATAGCTCTTTAATAACAATATTCTAAAACTATCAGAGATTTACCTTCGTCTTAATGAGAGTTTTGTCCTTATCTTCCATTAGAATTAAATCCGTGTGACAGTCATCCTTGTTATAATGGTGGAACTTGTTGTCCTACATCTGGAATGGAGTTTTACTGTGACTGTCCTGATGGTTTCGAAGGCGATAAATGTGAAACAGGTTTATAATTGTGGGACTTTGTTCAGCAAAGTCCCAGTTTGTTATCGAAATGTCAATTCTTTTTTTTTTTTTTTTTTTTTTTCGAAATTTACACACCTTCCTGAGCTTAGACTACAATAGTTGCAGCAACCATTCAACATTCACAAACCTTAGGTATAGGCGACGAAGTACCACAGTTCAATATGTGCAAGAATAGATAATCGGCTCTAGAAGTCGTATTTTTCGGTCGATTTTCTTTGGGTTTGCATTTTTGGAATCTACTGTTAAAATCTGAAAGAATAGCAGTTTCAAAATTTCAAAATTCGAAAATTTGTCGCAGACATTTTTTGGCCGATTTTCGAAATTTTTGGACCATTTTTCAGTTTTTTTCGGATTAATCTGAAATTTTGATAAAAGATGCATGTCACTAATGTAAACCATTTGACGTATTCAAAATTTTTGCGTCACTTCCGGTAAAGTGGAAAATTGATTTTCACTTCCGGTTGAATAACTTCCGGTGTGATTGAAATATTTCAACGAAATTATGTATATCGTTATTAATCTTAATTCTATGGCCGATTTTAAAATAAAATTTAGTCCGAAAAAAATACTTCGGCCGCCATCTTGATTTGATACTTTTTCATAAAACTCAAAATGGGGCTTCGGGGGAGAATGGGATTGGTCAAATTTTTATGTTGGTGTATACTTTAGTCGATGGCGACAAAAATGTTGGAAATGGATTTTTGAATTTGACTTTTGCTTTTTTGCAACTTCCGGTCGAATTTTTTTCAATTTTTGAAGGCTTGTATCCCTTGACCTTTGATGACCTTAACCTTTTAAAGTCAAAGGTCATTGACCTTGGCTATCATTTGATACTTTGACCTTTGACCCCAGACATGTACTTCCGGTTTTATAGCTATCCGTAAAAAGCCAAATTCGCAACTTTGGACTGCTCTAACACGTGACCTAATTAACCTAGAGGGTTATTTTTTTTGGTTTCCTAATGTTCTTCTCATGCACTTTACATAGATATAGAACAATTGCTTTTTTAAAGCAAAATTGAAATTCGTGATTTTTTCAAATTTGAGTTTTGTTTTACCATATTTGTGTCTTTTTGATCTTGGTGTATGTATATCTTATGACCTATTTTATGGAGAACCTTGATATTTGGAATACAACTAGACACTTTGAATATGAATTCACCTATGGCAAAAAAATTGGGGTGGGCGTGGCCATCTGGGTTGAATTACTAATTGTTTACATTTTGGGGCTGGGGCATAACTCGCATAGAATACGTTTGTTATAAAAGGGACTTTGCACACAATTAACTCATCCTTTTGGCCAGTTTGTGTTAACAGCTCAGTTGTTTCAGCTTTATAGTTCCAAAAAAGGAACGGGTTTTAACATTTGGATATTTTCATTTTTCGATTTTGACCTTTGTTGACATTTGTTGACCTATATCTTTTGACTTGAATAATGTAGAAGCTTGAAATTTGAAACACAACATAACATTTGGAATATCAATTACCCTATGCAAAAAAATTAAGGTGGGCGTGGCACATCCGGGTAATATTACTCATTATTGATATTTTTGGCCAGGAGCATAACTCGCAAAGTATACGTTTGTTCAAAATGGGACTTTGCATACAATTATCTCATGAATTGAGCCACTTTGTCATTGAAGTTCGGTTGTTTCCGCTTCTTAGTTCAAAAAAAGGAACAGGTTTTGGAAATTCAAAATTTTCAATTTTTGACCTTGACCTTTGATGACCTTGACCTTTGTAGGATCAAACGTCATTGGCATTGGCTATCTATTTGTACTTTCATATTTGCTGTCCTACGTCAACTTCCGGTTTTATAGTCGTGTGCAATTAGAAATTTTGATGACGTATATCTCTTGATCTTGACCTTTTTAGACTTTCTCTTTTACAAGATCAGAGGTCATTGACCTTGGCTATCTGCTGATACTTTCATTTGAGAGGTCTGACGTCTACTTCCGGTATTAGAATCTTCTAAAAAATGAAAATTTCTCAACTTTAGACTGTTCTTGCGCTTGATCTAATTATCGTGGAAGGATGATTTTTTCGGGGTCTTTTGCAATTTGCTACATTTGCAAAGTCCCACTCTGTGCCACGAGTGGCTCTAGTTATTATTATCTTTGGAAATCAAATAATTTTCTTGAAATTCCACTAGGAAGTGTGTCTACTAATGATTTTGCAAAGAACTCGAGAACAATGGCGCTTTACTAACGTTTACAATTTTCTAAAACCATACGAGACTTGCCTTAATTTTATTGTAAGTTTTGTCATTTATTTTTCATTAGAATTAAATCCTTGTGACATTCATCCGTGTCATAATGGTGGAACTTGTTGTCCTACAACTGGAGGGAAGTTTAGTTGTGACTGTCCTAGAGGTTTCAAGGGTAAAACATGTGAAACAGGTTTGTAATTACAGTAATCATTGGAAATCACTAACAACTGTCTTCAAATTCCACTAGGAACTGTGTTTTTAATGATTTTGCAAAGAACTCATGAAGAATGGCTCTTTACTAACGTTTACAATTTTCTGAAACTTTAATAGATTTATCTTCTGACAGTGATCCTTGTAAAAATGGTGGAACTTGTACAACTGGAATAAAGATTCAGTGTGACTATCCTAAAGGTTTTGTGGGTGATTATTGTGAAAAAGGGTTGTCTTTATATCATTATCGATATCTGAGTTGAAATAAATACCCCGGTACACAGCCATCAAGAGATGTGATTAAGCCATATATGGCATATTTATTTCAATATTAGGTACTAAAACTATTACAATACAAAAGAATAATTTGAACATGTTGTTTTCAGAATATCACCATAGTCACCATCCACATCGTTACCATGGACATGGCTATGGATATCATTTCCATGGTCACTATAGATATGGACAATACAAAATCAAAGGAATTTTTAAGAAAATAATGAAGAAAATAAAACGCGGTTATGGTCGTTTTGGTCGCTACGGACGTGGACAACGCAAGTCTACAAAAGTTATCAAGAAATTCGTGTTAAAGAAAAAGAAGTATGGTATCCGTTATTACGTTCGTGGTCAACGCAGGTTCAGGAATGCCAGAAATCGAGTCAGTCGAAGATTCAAAATATTTGGTTAATGATGTCCTATTATTATATTAATGTTCAAGAGATTGTCAAATTATATTTTTTTCTTGTCCTATCTTGGTTTATCAAATTTAAATATCAATAGGTGATAGTAGATTGAAAACTTCTTGAATTTACGATAAAAATGGAAGCAATGACATTACATTTTAATTTTCTTCGCTATTCTCCTCTTTTTAAGCTATTATCTGTTGAATTCTCAATGTAAAATTTTCTGATCACTCTGCTCTATGACCATTATACTGTGTGATAATCTACGCAAAGCAGATGATTTACAAATACAAACCTTTCATAACAAGAATGTTTTAATAATTTTGATACAGTACAAAGCTGTCTAGGATAACAAAGTATTTTCACTGTTACAATAGTGCTCAATATATCCATTGTTGGCCGATATAGAAATATTAAAATAGACCTTTAGTAAGGACGCAGGCTGAAAAAATCAGTTTATGAAGATCGTACAGCGTTAAACTCTGAGTAATAATATCTTTAAGTTCTGTTGTAATACTTATAAAATATGTGATTGTTATTTATTATTATTATTATTTACATTTAAATCTTGTGGTGCACTTTATGGTTCTATTGTCTCTGCTGGTGTCGGTAATTAAATATATGCAATGTATTTGAATAGTTTTATTTCTCGCAAAATTAAAAGGGTGGAAAATCCCAGTTCCAGAGCGGACAGAAGTGTTCTCTAAATAATGTGTGCTAAACTCCAAAAATCAAATAGAGATAACCCGCCATTAGTCTTCAAAGAGTAACATCAGAGCTAGACTCTCGGGAATAGGACTATAAAATAGGTGCAAACTGACTTACAGGGAGGAGGTGCCTTGGAGGCTGATTAAAAATGCAGGCATTTCTGTGGAGGCGTCATAGTCAAAATGCTCTCATCGTGGAACGTCTTTTCAAAAATTTGAATTGATTTGGTACATTCAGCAAATATTTTCATGCAAAAACGAATACAAATCTTATGTTCAATTAGGGTGCATTTCATTTTCCTCTATGCCCCCACTGGCGCCGCTACTGGCAGATGTTTAATCTATGATCGTAAGAGGTGCATTAGAGGTGTCTTGCTGCGATTGAAATAGGAATTATCAGTTGGATAACCACATCATACCATTGTTGATAATTGGAGAGATCCCACCTTTTGGATTGCATCTATTTTTCACTTATAGATTTAGTGGGGAGAATACAAAGGTTTGATGGTTTACCTGTCAATAAATCTGAAATGCTGAAAAATAGACCACCAGGCCCAAAACATACGACCTTAAAAGTCATTATTCAAACTTCCATACGAATGCCAACATTTGAAGGGTAGAGTGTTTCTGCCAATGACAAAATCTTTATTCTGTAAGGGCCTCAAGACTAAAAATATGCGATTTATTAAGTATTGATTATGTAAGAGAAAGTCGCACGTGTTGTTGGTAATAACTTTTTTTAAATCATTGCTCAATCTCCGAATGTGGTGACATATGGTAACATGGGTTTATTATGTACTCGACTGACGTGTATTGTGTTTTATGACTTTAACTGTGTGGCTTAACATTCAAAATTTCATGTGTGCAACCGTAATAAATCATTTATCAGCCACGTGGAATTTCACTAAAGCCTGTTTATGTATGGCCGAAAGCAGTTCAATAAGTTCAATAATAATCATTATTGAACGCATTGGACTACTTGAGGACCATTTACCTAAAATACATATTACAGAAACAAAAACATATACTCATGCACGTGCAATATTACAGGCCACATGAGATCAACTCACGTGCCATTACATACATATATAGAAACTTTTCAAGATGTCCGGTCAGGAGTTATCAAAAATATACTTCATCCAGGTAAATAATATTCATATTTTATCGCTTCGTCATTAATTTCAATGTCAAGGTAAAAACGTAAGCGATATCGATGTTTATTTACATGCAAGCACATTCAATTAAGTCGTAGGTTTTGAACCACAGGGACATGTCCCAAGGTATGGACATTTGCACTTTTCTTTGGGGACATTAGAAGCGCCAAAGCAAGTCACGTGCTGTGAAAAATAAAAACTTTCGAACTACATTATATACATATCATATGATGACTGCACTATACACAGCCTAAATTAACATTGTCTAGGAGTACTCAGAGAATTATTATTATCAAACTATGCGAGAACGTGCCTGGTATCCAATCATAGATACGCTTTCGATATTTTGGGACATCATTTTCACGCTGATTCGATTTGGGGACACAGGTTTAAAACCACTGCTATGAGTGATTATTGTTTTGTTAAGTATATGGTTACATAGCATTTACCCGACATGGCCTGCCTAAATATGACATTGCATATCATCTTATATATTATGACTACTTTCGGACGAGAGTAAGCCCAAATTCGAATTTATTTTCTCTCATTTCACAAATATCCACAATTTTATAAATTTTCAATTGCATGTGATTTGTCTTAAAATGTATTTTGGTTCATAGAAATGTAATGTTTGGAAATTTTGTATTTGAAATAAACACGTCCATTAATTTTCGGTAAAAATTGACTTACATTTCGGAAAATTTCCCTCATACCTGTAAGTTGGATATTGTTCCGCAAAGATCAAAGGGTGACGTCACATCTGTATTTTAATTGTACTTTATTTCAGAAACCCGAAATCAAAACCAACATTTTGGCGAAACATTTGTACCATTGCAGTTAATGTACCTTTTACAATAGCAAGTATATTAATCATAAGTGAGTAAGTATTTCATAATGAGAAGTGGTAATCAGGTGTGGTCATAGCAACTCAACATATCATTATGATGACAAGTTTAAACTTGGTCGGTAAACAACAACATTTGCGACGATAGTAGAAACATATATTTTATATTATTCAATTAGTATATGATGGCAGCCGTACAATTTCTTCAGGGAAGTTTTGAGTCGATTTGGTTAATACCCTTGTAGTAGTAGCTTAAATGTTTCGATCTGGCAAAGAAATCAGCGTAGAAAGAACATGCTATAGAATATCGAACCAATTGAGACATATATTCCATAAAGTAGCGATAGCGGAATGTTGCTGCACATAAAAGGGACAATGACGATTGGAACGGTTTTTCTATGTTCGATGTATGTTAATTCACGCCATGATCTGAAAGTCATTTATGTTGGTACCACGTTAACAAATTCAACCATTAAAATTTTCGATCTCTGCAAAATTACGTCTCTGCAAATTTTAAAATGTACACTATTTGGACTTTCATGACTGGTATATTAATTGATTTCTGCATTGCGTTTCTAAAATATTACCTTCATTACAACCTCTTTATTAAACAGATTATTCTGATTATTTAAATGACGAGTATAAAAGATTATCTTCTTTTATTAAGCAGATTATTCTGACCATATACATGAGGGTTTAAAAGATTATCTTCATTACAGCCTCTTTATTAAAAAGATTATTCTGATTATTTACATGACGTTTCCTATGACCCATTAACTGAAAGCTATTAATTTCTATTTGGATCCCCACAAAAAGCATTAAGAATTTAATAGGAATGAAATGACAATTTCAATTGTTCTGTACCACTTTGTAAATTATAAATTTTCTGTTCTGATGTCCTTACTTAACGACGGGTAGCTAAAAGTATCTCTTGAAGAGAATGTACCTTTAATTTAACAGTTATTCTTTCTAAAAATCGAATTATTTTATATTTAATTAAATAATAATTTACAACCTGGAATTGCTATATAATGTCATCGATATCCCAAGAATCTATGTGCATTGCCAGCTTGAAGTATGTGGGCATTTTACATAGTGTTAATATGTCTACCCTTTGGGGTCTTAGGAGGTATCTATACATTTCTTTTCAAATTAAGTACTCTAGCAGCATCTCGAATATTATTCCGTCGGTCTGCTTTTATTAATATTGTGTGTTAGTAATATGTAAATCAGACGTCTTGATTTAAATTTTGTCAGTTGATAAATGGAACAAATAGTTCATTAAGAGGATATAATTAAAGGCTTGAAACTGCTGGGTATTTTCTTCTTTTTGATCTGAGATTAAATACAATAATAACTCGCCCAATGTCCAGGGTTAGAT